TTAAGCGTTGTATCGTTTATACCATTGAACTTTCAATTTTGTCAATCATAGCACTGAAACTTGATTTTCGTTTCAATTATACTATTGGGTCGTTAAATCGTTAACACGGGAAGAAAAAGACGTCATTCTGGTGAGGTGTGTACGTCGGCAGTCGTCAACCACATCCGTAGCCATTAGCCACATCATCACGTTGTTAACGATTTAACGATTTAGTGGTATAATTGAAACGAAAATCAAAGTTAATTGCTATGATTGACAAAATTAAAAGTTCAGTGATATAAACAATATAACGCCTAAAGTTCGATAGTATCTGATATTTACCCTATTATTTTCTTATTGCAATTCATATGGTGTAAAAAATATTATGTTCAAATGTATCGTCTAAATTGTCATTTCGTATTTGCTCTAATCTTCTAATTATATTCATAGTCATAATATTCAAGATGTGTTTTCAAGTTATGAATCGGTCACATCAAAGAGTGGTATATATGCTATATTATGGTGTGACAATAGCCATAAAAGAGAGAATCAATGCAATTTCTTTTTCTTTTTGTTTCCAAACTAAAAATGACAAATTTTCTTATTCAATTGATAAGATTTCAGCATATTATTACATGTCCAGTGGTTGTTTCTGATCATTCTCAGAAGCTATATGACAAGTGGTTTGATATAACGTTTAAGGTCATTTTTAAGCATGGCTTATTCAGTAATTTGACCTTTGAAATTAAGCCCTATTTACCTAAATATATCAAAAATAAATAAATTATTGAAAAAAACACATCTTTATATTCTATGACATAAAAATAATATTAATTTAAATTGAGTTAATTGCATTATATGTCCTCGAAATAGGATTTTTATTTTGAATTGGTCCTTATAATTTTGAATATTCCAATTTAATCCATAAACTATGACTTCCATTCTAAATTAGTCCTTAAAATTTTGAACATTATAATTTTATCTCAAACTATGACCCTCATTCTAAATTGGTTCTCAAAATTTTGAATCTTGCAGTTTCATCCCAAAAAATCATCCAAATGTGTAATTAGTTTCAAGAATAATTTAACCTAAACCTTTTGTTTTTGAAGCATATAATAATATAATTTGATCTAACGATTTAATTGACAAAGGATGTGATTAGTATATACATATAGTTTGAGATGAAATTGAAATGTTCAAAAAGTTTGGGGAACAATTTAGAATGAAGGTCATGTTTCATATAAAAATGAAATGTTCAAAAGTTTGAGGACTACTTTAGAATGATAGTAAAAAATTAGGAATTAAATTAAAATATTTAAAAGTTTAGAAACTATTTTATAATAAGAGTCATAATTTAAGTACGTATGATACAATTAACTAAATTAGATTGTAAGACGCGTGTTAGAAGTACCTGAACCTTTGATTTCCACAAAATCTAATTTGTCCGATCCGGTCCAAAAGTTTTACAAAGATTAAACTTGATAACACGTGCCCTTATTTTACTGGGCAGTGAAATTAAAACTAGCGACGCTCAGAGTTCCAGGGTCGCAACAACGGCGTAAATCTAGAGTTAAAAACCACTGAAGGACACGTGTCAGAAGCACCGTCGTCAGATATTTCCCAAGTCGTCCTGATTTTTCTGCTTCTTTGGTACAATAATTGCATCAGGCAAAAGAGGCTTCCACTTTCCAGAGCTCAGCTATACTTTTCAAAGGGTAATATTTACAATTATCTATATTAAATCGGTTAATCTATCGAATTAATTATCGATAACACAAACCAAACATGATTCGATGTTAACTAAAATCGAATAATGTTGGTTAATGTAATCAACTTGGTTTGAATTTTGAAATGTCCCACCAGCCGATGAGGGAATATCATGAATGAGAAAAGATGCACAAAATGAAAAGTGGAGACAGGACATATCAATGACACAATGCTAACTTTAGTATTCTGATCACATCCACCTTTTTAACCTCTCAGTTCATCTCAACTTTTTGCCCAGCATGTCAATCTCAATCTCATTGCTGTTTGAGAATATGGGATTTGCAAAAGAAGCTAAAACCTGAAGTTATTCATGATCAATGTGATGCCAATTTGAAGTGGTTAGATTCACTGCATGCTGCAAAAGCTATTAGGAAAGGAAAAAATCACAGCATTCAATGAATACATGCCATGTTACACCAATATTTTAGAGAAAATGAAAAATCTAAATAATATATCGTGTTTTACATCGAGCTCGTTCGGATATTTGCAGACGATGAACAATAAAACGAAAGTGAAAATGATGAAAATTTGACAAGATTTTATGTATTAGTGGTGGATTTGCATATCCACTCAACGACATGAACATCACCTGGGGAGAATTCAGTGAAAGGAAAAATGCTTGAAAACGAGAAGCTTCTAAAATACAGATGAAAGAGGTGAATGTGAGTTGTCGATTCTTCAACAGTGGCTCAGTGCATTTGGGATGTGATTAGAATCGAATTCAGCCAAAGAAAGAAAATGAATTTGTGGTGGAAAATATATGCTTCAAGTGGATAATAATCATGTCATAATCATGTGTGGTCAAGGAGTGGATTTTCAGACGTTGAGAGATATGGGGTTGCAATGATTATATCTGAAGCATTGCAAAAGAAAAAAAATGATGTTGATAAGTTACTCGAAATCAACTCGGTTATTGTCTACTCAAACATTAAATACCAAAACAAGAAAATATATGACATCAATTATAGCTTTGGGATTGATAATGAAACACTTTAAACAACCCACTTTGACAAACCTACATCTACAAGTGGGATTCCTAAATCCTTTTCATTCAAGTGGTCGACTCTTCATTTTTCCTAAATACTCGTGTCTAACACCAGCGTCCATATAAAAGCGACATAATTCATAGGACATCATCATAACATTAAGATCGATAAATAAAACCGGTATAATTAGGAGTCATTGCCACAAAACTCCATCCACAAGTGGATTTGCAAAATCCAGTGTACATACAATGGCCTTTGAAAGAAAGCTAATGATCATTTACTAAACATGAGCACAAAAGTAAAAATGTCTTCCATGGCACGATCAAGAATCAACTACTAACTTATCCAAAAAAAAAAAGAAAAAAAGAATCAACTAGTAGATGTATTAGAGCAATCAGGACAGCTGAAGTGACCTCTAGCTTGACATTTCGTACATCCAATAGATTTTTCCTTCAATTCCTCGGACTGATACAAATTATCGATAAGGCTAAAACCGAACGGTTCATTTGATATGATTAATCCAGTTCCTCTGCATCTTGAGCATGCTATCACCTGTAGACCACCACATCTCTTGCACAAGCCCAATGAACTGCAAGTTTAACAGATTGCATATCAGCTCGTGCACCGTATTAACAACGATACTGTGTAGATTACAGTAGCCAAATAAACATATCCTAGGTCTCTTTTTCCTATCAAAGTTGAATAAAAGTGGGGAACCTTATGATATAGATAATGCATGCTACCTACCTTAATACAATAAAGCTGATGTCAAACTTATTTCAGAAAGAAATTGATTCAGTTCATTCACTCGACAATGAGTCTGGAGCTTTATCCGTTTCACCCCCTAAATCATTTCTAGCTTAATCCTTAAGTTTATTATCAGAAAAAACGAAAAAAGCAACCTTTATATGCATTACACACTAGTCGAGTTTTCTTAAGATAAGTGAACCACAAGCACCACAGCACGATAAACAACGTTGCTGCAAGCTGCTGGTTCGGAAACCGGTTATATTTAAATTTCGTGCAAAGGAGGTCCTAACTTGGAGACAGGTGAAGGGAATAAGGGATTATGGATATCAGAATTCGAACTCTAAACCTGCTAAATATCACCCCTTAAAAGTTACCATGTGAACAAAATAGGCTAAATCCTAGGTTCCTTCCAGGCCAATTCAGTTTTGCCCTAGCATAACATGACAATAAAAAACATTTTTCTGTTACATAATAATTGCTTACACCACCAGAATTTTCTGGTGCATTCTTTGATATAGAATCATCACAAAGAACATAAATCAAACAAGAAGATATAGCAATCATTTCATAAAATTTCAAACAACCCCACAATTAAAATCTATCACTGGGATACAAAAGGCATTGAATTGAAGTACAATGATAGCATTTCCACATGACATCCAATTGTAAACCAACAAAGTGAACAACAAAAACCATATCAAAATAAACAAAAGATGTCACAACTCACAATTCATGAACTATTGCTTAGAGCGTTGTGCTAATAACTTCACTTAGAATAAGACTATTCTAATGTCCACTCGTGTCTCCGTTTTTGCTTGATCTGCATGCGTTACTTATATTATGTTGTGTTATTAAGTAGTCGTTATTTATTTTAGTTGGATCTTTATATAGTGGTTTATATTAATAAATTTATATATTTTATTATCAATATAATGATATATAATTTACTATAAATTGATCTAACTTAAAAAATATTTTCAAAAAATTATGAGCCACTTTAATGATTTGAATGTAACACTCGAATTTATCGATATCAAACAATTATTTTCTTTTTTACTTTCTTGTGAATTAAAATTTTCATATGGGAGGCAAAAGACAGTTCTTTTTATTTAGAAAAATTAATTTCACAATCACATTCCTTTATTAATAAATTTATATATTTTATTATCAATATAATGATATATAATTTACTATAAATTGATCTAACTTAAAAATATTTCAAAAAATTATGAGCCACTTTAATGATTTGAATGTAACACTCGAATTATCGATATCAAACAATTATTTTCTTTTTTACTTTCTTGTGAATTAAAATTTTCATATGGGAGGCAAAAGACAGTTCTTTTTATTTAGAAAAATTAATTTCACAATCACATTCCTAAATGCTTTATGCTAACAATGTTACACCTATCACAATTCCTAAAAACAAGTAATTAATTAATCTTTACAACAAGTACTTAATGGAGAAGTTCCAGGAAAATACAGCCCAAAAGTCAACAAGGTTCCAAAATCAAATGATTAGAAAATGTAGCCTCCGTTGTACACATTTCTTGAATCCCCTCCAAAGCAATTATAATAACATGTATTTGCTGGGCGATGCATGGAAATCTTGTTGCAGCAATTACCAGCCTGATGATCATCATCTAGGTTCCACCACCCACCCCATAACTCTTCATCCACCAGATACTGATCTATCCAAGAAGCTGCATTAGCAGTGTGAGAAGCTGGCTCTTGAGGCAAGCACTGATCCTCTGAAGTAGGGTACATGAATATCATCTCATGTTTCTCTTTGGGTATCTGATCAGTGGTCTCGATTGCTTCTTCTTTTTTATCTGTTTTTTCCTTTTGCTGCTGTTGTTGGTTTAGCTTTAGAATCTGAGCTTTTCTTTTTTGTTGCTTCGGAGAGGACTTTTCCTTCTTCTTAAAATGGGTTCTCCAATAGTTCTTTATCACATTATCTGTTCTCCCTGGCAAGTATCTGGCAATTGTAGACCATCTGTTTGATTTTTCACATACAAATTAAACCCCATAATCATAATAGATACATATATATACACATAGATATAGATAAAGAGAAATAATGATGAAAAAAGAAGCATTATTACTTGTTACCCCAAAGTGCATGCAATTCAATTATGATCCCTTCCTCTTGACGTGTTATATGATCTCTTTTAAGACCTGGCCTTAGATAATTCACCCACCTAAGCCTGCAACTCTTCCCACTCCTATTCAAACCTGTAAAAAAAAATTCCATATCTCACTTGATATTCTTCATTTAATTTAGCTAAGGAAATGATATATGTATACATGTATATATGTATCTATGTATGGTAGGTAAATTATACCTGCAGACCTAGCTACTGAACTCCATCTTCCTTCACCATGCAAGCTAACATACTGAGTAAGAAGTTTATCTTCTTCAGGAGTCCAAGGACCTTTCTTCAACCCTATTTTTGGAGCTTCCCAGCCCATCATTCTAACCATTATTACAAGTTTTTTTCCTTAATAAAAATTGTTGTCTCCAGATTGTATGACACAAGTCCTCAGCTTAACCCTCTTATATATCTCTTCAACATGTCAATTCAATGTCCCCCCCCCCTTTGTAATACATTTTGATTATCTCAATAGGAAGACAGGATCTTTGAAATGAAATTTCAGCTTGAATTCCTTCTTTTTATTGTCCTTCGTAATATCCTCTCAATTTAGTACAAGTGTTAAATGTCTAGGTGCTTACCAGCTCAGTCTCTTTTAACCAATCACGTATCGACAGTTGTTTATTACATGATCGTGATTCCTTAACAAGATCTCGAACTACATTGTCTTGTCATAATAACAAAATAGACATTATTTGACTCCTTTTAGACCTAAAAAACCCCGTCTATTTACTTTGAAAGCCGATGTTTTATTTTTAAGAAGAAATAGTCATAAGTTGGAATCTTAATATTTATGTAGTATTTTCATTAATTATTTATAATAATAATTTTGGAAAAATAATAAATAGTTAAAATCGAATTTCAATATCTAAAAACTCTTAAAAAAAGCTAGTGAGTTGTTGATCTCTCCTTGATAATGGCTTATGATCCTATAATAATGGAACGCTTGTTGGCATAAACAATTCTTAAATGCATGCTGTAGGAATTGTTTATTACCAAAGAAGCTTCTAGGATGCCATTTAAGGCAATGGAGGAATTAAAAATATGATAAAAAGGTGAAGATTTTTGATGAGTCATTCATACTACATCTAGTATTTTTGCAGTACCTTTACGCCGTATAGCATATTTGGAATGTTAGGGCATTATTTAATTGGATCAAAGTTAACTTTTAATGAGCAATGCCTACATATAGGTATTGATGTGTAACATGGAAACTATTTATTAATATTATAAAAAGGAAAAGGGTACGTCAAAAGATTTAGTGTTCAATGTACTCAACTAGATCCTGTCTTGTAAAGTCGTAAGATTTATAAGTAGTGAGAAATGCTGTGGTGAAAAAGATGTAATAAAAGTTGGGGTGTTTGTGTTTTCTCTCCTTTTTGAGTTGCCCTTCAAAGAAGAGATATCAGTTAGGCAATTTGAGGTTGGCTTGGCGTATGATTTATTGTTTTGTTTTTGCTTTTAAGTGGTTCATATCTATGGTTACAGTATGATATTAATTCATTGAAGTTTCCAAACCAAATGTGCAGTGATTATTTGAAGACCTTAACCAATGTATATTTTATTCGCTCTTCAAATAATTAGAGTTGAGTATTTGACTGAATTAAATGAAAAAATCAGTCAAGTTTAAAAGTATTAATTTATCATTCAAATTTTATTTAATTTTTTTCTAAATTAAGTCGAGTTTAAGAGTATTTGAACTATAAGATTATTACAGTGTGTTATGATTGACAGGGGCGAAGCTAGAAATTTTAGATGACGGTGTCATAATTTCAAATTACAATATTGATATTAGGGGTGAGCAAAACTCGACTCGACTAAAAAAATCGATCTTTTTTACTCGATTTGACTTGAATTAAATTCGAGTCATAATTTTATAAACTCGGCTCGACTCGAATTTTTTTAATTTCAATCGGAGTTATAAAATAGAACTTGAATAAGTGGAATAATAACTCGAATAACTCAAAAAATTTAATAATTAATATATTGATTTTTAAGTTTGAGTTGAATCCTTGGACTTCGTATAATATATGTATATTACACATGAAGCAAATATGAAGAAAAATATATGTATTTTATATAGTTATAGAAAACAGTTTAAATTTAAATCAAATAGTACCATATAAATATTTAAAATTATATTTAATCAAAAACTCAAATAACTTGACTAAAAAAAGTTTAAATAAAGTTTGAGTTATAAAATAGAATTCTTCAACTCGAATAACTCAAACTTTTTAACTCAACTCGATTGAATGCTCACTTAATCGGCATATTATGAGAAATTTGAGTTTTGAATTTTTTATTATTAAATTTTATACAATATATATGTATATATATATTAAAAAGTGAGATTAATTTATTTTTTTATGGTGCCAATTTTATTTTAAATGGTGTCATTTTTATATTATATATATATAATTTATATAGAAAAAAGTTTAAAATATTTTGGTGTGTCAATTGACACCCCTCATAACATAGTGACTCCGCCAGTGATGATTGAAACTACAACAACTATGCATGTAAAAAATCCCAACTCGTAAATTCCATATGAAACAAGGTCTTTTCTTTTATTATTGTGTCTATACTCGACATTATTATCGCGTATCTTATAACAAAAACAATCAACACCAATTTCTCTATCCATCCCCACCGCTGTAAGTACAAGAAGAAAAATTGTGTAAAGCACGTAATTTGACACTATACCAAACTTTGTGAATGACTATCTCAGCAATCCATGCTAGTATCTTTGAAAGATTAAGACGAAAAAAACAACAACAACAAAACTCTATTCCCATATGAAATGGTGTAAGGGGGAGGTAGGGTAGTAGGATGCCCCCAACGTCAGGTTGAGAGCAGCTTTCGTGGAAGACCTCCGACAATCAGAAAATTAAAATAAAGATAAAATGCAATGCATGTATAAATAAATAAATAAATACATAATTGAACAGTCTTCATATACAGTCTTCATATGCGCGTCTGTAATGGACATTGTGCTTTATTTGTTCATTTCTGGACTGAGATTGGGTTTACCTTAAGTCCTTAACCACACCAACAACTGCGCCATTCTATAAAGGTGATGGATATATTAGGGTGTGTTCTGGGTATTTTATATCCATTTCGGCACCAATGCAAGATGGTATAATACATATAAATTCTGTGTTTTCTTTATGTATTTTATATAGTTATAGAAAACAGTTTAAATTTAAATCAAATAGTACCATATAAATATTTAAAATTATATTTAATCAAAAACTCAAATAACTTGACTAAAAAAAGTTTAAATAAAGTTTGAGTTATAAAATAGAATTCTTCAACTCGAATAACTCAAACTTTTTAACTCAACTCGATTGAATGCTCACTTAATCGGCATATTATGAGAAATTTGAGTTTTGAATTTTTTATTATTAAATTTTATACAATATATATGTATATATATATTAAAAAGTGAGATTAATTTATTTTTTTATGGTGCCAATTTTATTTTAAATGGTGTCATTTTTATATTATATATATATAATTTATATAGAAAAAAGTTTAAAATATTTTGGTGTGTCAATTGACACCCCTCATAACATAGTGACTCCGCCAGTGATGATTGAAACTACAACAACTATGCATGTAAAAAATCCCAACTCGTAAATTCCATATGAAACAAGGTCTTTTCTTTTATTATTGTGTCTATACTCGACATTATTATCGCGTATCTTATAACAAAAACAATCAACACCAATTTCTCTATCCATCCCCACCGCTGTAAGTACAAGAAGAAAAATTGTGTAAAGCACGTAATTTGACACTATACCAAACTTTGTGAATGACTATCTCAGCAATCCATGCTAGTATCTTTGAAAGATTAAGACGAAAAAAACAACAACAACAAAACTCTATTCCCATATGAAATGGTGTAAGGGGGAGGTAGGGTAGTAGGATGCCCCCAACGTCAGGTTGAGAGCAGCTTTCGTGGAAGACCTCCGACAATCAGAAAATTAAAATAAAGATAAAATGCAATGCATGTATAAATAAATAAATAAATACATAATTGAACAGTCTTCATATACAGTCTTCATATGCGCGTCTGTAATGGACATTGTGCTTTATTTGTTCATTTCTGGACTGAGATTGGGTTTACCTTAAGTCCTTAACCACACCAACAACTGCGCCATTCTATAAAGGTGATGGATATATTAGGGTGTGTTCTGGGTATTTTATATCCATTTCGGCACCAATGCAAGATGGTATAATACATATAAATTCTGTGTTTTCTTTTTCCAGCTAAATTAACGGACGGAAGCAATTCATCTTTTTTCTTTGGGTTAAATATAAATAAGTGTTCAAATTATACCGTTTTTCAAGAATAGGTGTCTAAAGTATTTTTTGACTCATCCCGGTACTTAATAATGTTACAAACGTTATCATTTTAGGTGCCCGAGCCGTTAATGGAGTTAATTTTTTTCGTTAAGTGACACGTGTCATAATCTATTGATTTTGATTTTTTTAAAATATTATTGTATTTTTGACAAAACACTGATTTTCTGAAATTATAAAAGAGTCCCAAAATCCCTCTCCGTCGGTGTCGTAGCCCTTTCCAGCCACGACCACCCCGTCGATGTAGTCTCTACCATCCTCTTACTCATATGTCGTCGTAGTTGCCGACGATTGGCAGTTGGAATTGCATGGGATTGCGATTTTCATCATAGAATTTGCGGAGTATAAAACGTATCGATCATGATTTCATAGGGATTTTGGTTGCCGGGGAGAGGTGACATCGGGTGGAGCTTCACCGATGACAAAGAGCGACGATCGGTGTGGGTTTAGGGGTTGAAATGAAGATTTTTAAAGTTTTGAGGTTATTTCAAAAAAATTATGTTTTTTAAATATATAATTTTTATTTTTATTTTTAAATAAAATTTTTAAAATTATCAGATTGTGACACGTTACTTAACGGAAAATTTAACATTGTGAACGACTCAGATACCTAAAGTAGTAACGTTTGTAACTTTATGCATTGGGAAGAGACATAAAATACTTTAAGTACCTATTCGTGAAAAATGATATAATCTGAGAACTTATTTTATATTTAAACCTTTTTCTTTCAATTTTCAGGTGTTGAACCTTGGCGGTTCCAACTTATGCTTATGGTTTGTCAAACAAATCTGTTTCGACCTGTTATATATACTGCAATTGCACGACTGGTATTTGTATCATGTTTTACACTTCTATCCCGACGAAAGAAGAAACAGAGGAACACGGTTGAGAAATTCACAGCCTGCATTGAAAAAAGGAAAAATCAATCATTTCCTAGTCTGGTTAGGACATGTTTTAATCTCTTATGTACACGCGTCTGTCAGTCAATTAGATGAAACTCTAATGTGTAGTCCATTTGGTGCTTCCACTCTTGGAAATTTCATCAATTTTTCTCCCCCAACTTCTTCCCATCTGCACCAAAAAAACCAGATTCATAATCAATTTTCTAATGTTATTTTTCAGAGTAGCATTCTTTTAGATGATTAAATTACCTGTATCTAGTTACAAAATAGTGAAGGAAAGTAGAAATCTCTGCAATCCCAAGCTCCTTCCCCGGGCATTGCCTGGTGCCTCCTCCAAATACCAAGAAATAGCTTTGAGATTCCAGGCCCTTTTCCTGCATCCATCAATCATTTAAAAATTAAGCATTGGGTTTCATTCTTTGGTTCAAAAGAATTGAAGGACAAATTAGGCTTACTAACCATCCATCTCCATGGATTGAAAGCTAATGGATCTGGGTATAGGAAAGGATCATAGTTTACTTCCCTTGTATAAACATATATTCTCCACCCTTTAGGAATTACAAATCCTGAGAAGAAAAATATATTAGTTATTGGTGAAAATCCAATCATTTGGCAAAAGAGTAGTAAAAGTTTTCTTTTTGAAAAAAAGGGCTTCCTTTCTTTTCAAAAATCATTGAGAAAACAAGACAATGAATCATCCATGGAACTGGATTGCTAGGTATGTCAATGTAAGTCAGGATAGGGGTAAGGTCTACCAAAGCAAGATGATCTCATTTTCTTTTACGTTTTTTTATTCTAAAAATGTTTTAAAAAAAAGTTGTAAAAAGTGCAGTGAACTGCAAACTCGGCTTCTTGAGTCCATAAAGTTGAAATTAGTTGGAGGATCAAAAAGAATTATTTCAATATTTTAATGGCTCACCATTTAGTTCCATTTCATGAGTAGTTTTCCTCAAAACTCCATTAACAATTGTAGCTAACCTTGAAGTCTCAAAAATCACCTGCACCAAAAGCAGCACACCAGTCATTAATTATTAGGAAAGAACAAAGGGTTCTTCGGAAAAAAAAGTTACAAATTACTTACTGCTCTTGTAAATCTCATTGATTTCAGGTCATTCCAATCAATTGGTTCATCAGTTCTTTTTCTTGCTCTAATTCCCATATGCTCTTTCTGAGGAAATAATATAACAGTAAAATCAAAACCAAGGAAACAAATGAAACAATGACATAAAACAGCTCAAACTTGAACTTACTCTTAGCTCTTCAAGAACAGTTGGATGATCATGGAGATACTTGACAGCCATCATTGTTGTCGTGGAAACAGTTTCGTAACCAGAGTACAAGATTGTAATGATTTGATCAATGATCTCGTCATCACTTAGTTTATGTCGATTACTGTCATCGTTTCTCATCAAGTAACCAAGCATGTCCTTGTCGGATGATTCTTCACCATCTCTTCTCTGTTCTATCAGTTGTCGCAGTATCTTCAAAATGTTTTTTCTTGCCTGCAAATCATGGTTAAGACTGTAAGAACATGAACCGAAATGAACGACAAAAGCTTGTGAAATTATACCTGAAATCCTCGACGATAATTCGTTCCGGGAAGATTGATAGGAAGCGATAAGGTTCCTAGAACGAGTTTAAAGAACTCAGGCATGAATTCTTGAGCTACTATGCTGGATTCAACGCTGGCGATTTGTTTAAGTGATGATAAAAAGGCCATCTATAGAAAAAAGAAGAAGAAGCATATTAGAAAACAGAGGAACATCTTAATGCGATGAACACAGACACAGAGCACAAACAAACCTCTTTGGTCTTATCCTGGATGTTAATGACTTTGTTGTCCCAATTACCGAGGAAATCTCTCATGTATCCATCGATTTTGGGCAGAAGTTGTTGTCTGATCATAGTGGGGCTAATGAGGGCAAGGAGGGCACCTCTCATTTGCTTATGAGTGCCGCCGTGGACGGCGGCGATGTTGCATTTGCCCAAGATATCAAGCATGGACTGTGGGTAACCTGGAACAAGGCCTTTGGCTTCGTTCATTAGTATATATCTGTTCAGCTCTGGATCCATGGAAACAACAGTAGGACACCCTAGGATATGGGATTTGAACAAACTGCCATACCTGTATGTAATAATTTAACCAAAAAACTCTATTAAAAACCCATGATTTTTACTGTTTTTTAAGTGAAAGAAAGAAACAGGGTTAAAGATCATCACCTTGCTCTTTGGTTTTTCATGAAGTTAGGGCCTTGCTTGAGGAACTCAGTGGTTTCCCCAAAGACAGGCCAGCCCATTGTACCAGGGGGAAGACCATTCTTCCTGTACCTCATCTCATTCCATCTCAAAACGGCAGCGCATACACAGAGCACCACTACAAACAACCCAATAATCGCCATGAAAACACCCATTGTTTCTCCCAAGAAGCTCTCTCTTCAAAGCAAACGAAACAGCTTCTCTAAATGGCTAAGAGGAAATTAGACAGAAGGGTACATATAGGCCAAACCATGCAGCACACTAGGAAGGGACCCTACCCTTAAGGACCTCAAAGTAATATAATCAGTCCAATAAAAACTGATACTGGAATCCATGTTTATTTAAACATTTTTTTACTAAGCTAAGTAGCCAACCCTCGTAATTAACTAGATATAGATTTGAATCTTAAACTCCTTTCACACTTAACTATGATTTAAAAATATTAATATGGAGATTAAGACACATCTCATTCTTCAAGATGTTCAGTATGAATGTTTGTTTGATAGTTAAGGTCAGAGATATCACTAATATTATTGTAGGATTCGTCCAAGTCCAACAGTTTATATTCAACACATTAATAATCTAATTTAATAAACATTTTTTAAAAAAAAATATTTAGAATAAACCCAATCATTTTTTTCAATCCAATAAATAGTTTTATAAATTTAAAATATACGAATCAATTATACAAATTAAATGTTTGAATGAAATTTTGTAACATTTTTTATGATGAAGAATGATTTGGATATAATTAGTATGAAAACTATATTAGAAAAATAACAAGAAAAAGTGTGTGGAGATGCACATGCACACCACCCTATTGGACCTAAATTTTAAATGGCTTTATTTTATTATTAAAAAAGGACAACTTCGAAAGCCCCAGTCCTCCTCATGTTTGTCAATAAGATTTGAATTTAAGAATGTAATCTTAACATCGGTTAACCGAGTGCTTTGTACATGGTTATAGTTCTGATCGACGACCAAAACATTTTTTATTTTCGTAGTCAATTTAATTAATTCTGTACATGTACAAGAATAAATTATACGAACATCTTTTATTTTAGGTTTATGTTTTGGTATATATTATATATATAATATATATATATATATTCTATATATATATATATATCTATATATATATATAAATCAATGAAATAATAAAATTTGTTTACAAGTTTAGATTAAATAAATGGCTTATGTTTGATAATATAAATGATAATAATTTTATGTTAGGAGAGAATTTCTAAAATATTAAAGGACATAAATCTATAAAATTTAAAGGGACGAAAACATATTTTTAATAAAAAGATTTATAGAAAAATCTAAAAAGATATGATAATTTTAAATTTTTAGGGGAACGGCCTATACTAATAAATTCATTATGTTTTTTTTATTAATCTGAGTCAGATATAAGTCAGTATTTGTTCAAAGATAGCTCTCAATCATTTGAAATTAAACGCTCACACCCCTTGATATTTCTAGGTCACTTAGTTCGTGCCAGTACAAACTCTAATTAATATGTATAATGTTATTAATAATTTAAACACATATAATGTTATTAATTAGAGGTTTTTTAAATTATAAAATTAATTAATAATTTAAACACGTATAATGTTTATTAATATTATCTACAATTATATTAAGTTATTTAGGGTAAACTACATGTTTAGTATCTAAACTATTATTTTTGTTCTATTTTAATATTTAAACTTTATTTTTTTTAAATAAACCATACGTCACAACTACAATTAATCAAGCATATGACACCAAATTGGAGAGATCGGAGAACTTGGGGGGTCAAAGTGAAATTGGAAGAGAAGAGAATTCATGTTTATATATCTTGAAGATATGAAAAATTATGAAAAATAATATCTAGAAGGATTTCTTTAGGTTAAAAAATAAATACATGGTTTAATTAATAAATGATATGTATATAAGGAGCCTTGTGATTAATGGATTTAATTTTCTTAAGAAATCTTAAATCAAATTCATCATATTCCAGTTCAAGAATACTTCTAACAATAAAAAAGTGATTTTCCATTGCATAAACACATCCAAACCTCAAGAATTCAAATTTTATACTGTGAAAATTATTTTTGGATGAAATTATTTTTTTTATCCTTAGTATTTTTATTTTTATTTATAACATAACATCTAAAATAAATGTTTTTTTTCTTTTCAAAATCGTTTTTAACAGAAATTTAAAATAATTAAATTTTAACTATACTTTTTAAAAATATTTTTGTAACGATTTTTAAAATTACTTTTCAAAAGTAATATCAAATTATATCTTTAATGTTTAACGATGAAGGATATAATTAGTTTTTATTATGTTTTATGTTTATTTTTTAATTATTTTTTATAATATATGTTAGTAAATCCACCAATAAACATATTTATTGATTTGTTTATTATCTCATATGATTTTTTCCTATAAAAGTACTTAAAATTTATATATATATTTTTTATGTATTTACAATAAAATTATTAATATTTATATTTAATCATTTTAAATATAAAAATGAGAATTATATCTATTTATAATTTGTTTTTTTATTATTTATCATTATATATTTATATTATAAAAATATTTGAACCTGTAAGTAGGGGTGTTCAATTAATGGTAGTGAATATGATAGTTTAATATATAATAAAAATAAAATAAAAACTTAATAAATTTTCAAGGAAAATGACCACCACAAAGATCATGAGTCTTCATAGTCGATTGCGTTCTATTAGGAAGGAGGATCTCTCTGTCGTGAGTTCTCTACTCAAATCAAGGAGATTTGTGATTTGCTTGCAACTAGTGGTAGCCCTGTCTCGGAAGTAGATCAGATCGTCACTCTTCTCAACTGGTTTCCTTCTGAGTTCGAGCCTTTTGTGGCTGCTATTACGGTGAGTCTTGAGCCATGCACTATTGACACGGTAACATCAGTTCTTATTGATGCAGAGTCTCGTCTAAACACTCATGTGAGGGCTTCTGTTAGTATCAATATGGCGAGGCATAAACAGTCCAGGGCAGCTGTGGATGATGGTCGTAGTTACAGTAATGATCGTTCGAACAATAGTCAAGGTAAAAATCAAGCTGGGAATCGATACAAGGGTAGGCCTAGGCATTAGTGTTAGTTGTGTGGTAAGCTAAGTCATTTAGTAGACAGGTGCTGGCACCGATTGATCAATCTTATAAACCTTCTTCGACTCACATACCTAAGTCACGTGGTGATATGCGGGCAAATGTTTGTAAATATGCTTATGATTATATTGATCAATGCTATGATCCTTTTGTGAGCACAGTTGCAGGTGGTGATGCTATTAATAGATATAGCACAGTAGATACTGCTCAGATCAACTCTCTCATTGCTAAATGGGTTATTAATGTCTCTGACAAGTGGTATCCCGATTTAGGAGCAACGCACCATGTAACATATGAGAGGCCTGGTCCATCCTTGTCGCAACAATACTCAGGTAAAGGCAAGGTTTACTTAGGTGATGGTTCTGTGTTCCAAATTTCTCATGTTGGTCAAATTGTGTCAACTGTGATCTAAAACTGGAAGAGGTGTTGTGTGTACCTCAGATGACACGTAATTTGCTGTCTGTTTTTAAGTTTTGATAAATGCTTTGTGAAGGATAAGGTGACTGGTGCTATTCAATTCAAATAAATAAATAAATTTTCAAATATAAAGTGTGATGTATATTAAAAGTATTGGAGTTGTTGCACGAGGGCCTCTTTTTTTGTTCTCTTATGCTTTTCCTGCCAGAATATATATATATATATATATATACACACACACACTTAATTTCTTCCTTCTCCATACCCTTGGTCACATTAATTATTTTTCTCTTCATTATTAATTCCCCACATATATTCATCAATCATTGCAGTCGGAACCAATGTTATTAAAACCGGACTGGACCGGCCGGTTCGACCGGTTGAACCGTGAACCGGTGGTCTGTCCGGTCCAGTTAACTCCCAAAACCGGATTAGTACAGAACCGGTAAAGAACCGGAAGAACCGGTTGAAAACAGGGGTGAACCGGCTGAAAACCGGCAAAACCGGTTTGAACAGTCGGTTCACTTTTTTTCTTTAAAAAAAAGTAAATCAAACAACGTCGTTTGTTCAACGAGCCGAGTCAAATTCGAGTATTGCTGAGCTCGACTCGAACTCGAAAACTTTAAAAGTAAGCTCAACTCGACTCAAAAACTCACGAGCTAAAAATTATCAACTCGAAATATAGCTTGTGTTTAGTGTTTTTCCCTCCAAGTTTAACCGCATCTTAATCTCCTTTTTTTTCTTCTAATTTTCCATATAGATTCATTCCCTTAATCTTTGTTCATTTTCATTCCTAATTCTCATTAATCGTTCCTCTCATTTTCTTTCATCCAAACACTACCGTATCTTTCTCCCAAATCCTCTCAAATCCTCTCTTGTGGCTGAAACTCTTCTTCATCATTTTTTATTCCATTTTTATTGATTTTGTGTTCCTTTCTTCTTTTTCTCTCTTTAATCAAGATTGTTTTTTCTCTTTTCTTCCTCTTGTCGTTTTCTTCTTCGATCACTTTGGAGTTGCCATTGTTGATCTTCATCTTCTTTTCCAGCAAAATAATTCACTTTTCCTTGGTTTTTTTTTGTGTTTCAATGATTAATGATCCAATGTGATTGATGATTTTAATTAAGCAATTCTTTTAAAGGAGAGTTTGTGAATTAAAAGTGATTTTCAGAGGTATTTAATGTGTTATTTTTCTTGATCACCTTTCAAGGTTTTATTGTGTTGATTAAGATGTTTTTATGATATTATTATCATACTAAATCATTTTTTTAATCTCATATGATTTGGATATCGATTTCTTTAAAAAATTGATTTCGGTGTTTTTCGGGAATCCATGAATTAGGATTTGTTAAGGTTAATTTTAAGGTTTTAGTTGAGTTTAGTTGTTAATATTAGTTATTCTTTATCAGCTCTTGTTGAGGATAAGCGTTTTCGATCGTATTAGAGGTCCAGAGAGTCGTTTTGGTAAGGTTTTCGGTCTTTTCGCTCTGTTTTGGAAATAGAAAATTCTGCTATGTTTTGGATGTGTTCTTGGGTTATTTTTCTTTCCAAGGGTTTTGATGTGTTATTGTTAAGGAAAATTGGTGTATTGTATTTTTGTGAGCATTTGCTAAGTGTTTGGAATCAACTTCAGTTAGTGGACAATCAAGATGATTGGCTTTCATTCTTTGTGGATGAACATGTTCAAGGTTAGAAGAAGGTGTAGTTTAGATGTTCTCTTAACTTGAACTCTGATATGGATGAGTCTTATTGATGCACATGATTGACATGAAATGTGATATGGAATATAGATATGTATTGTGAATTGTGTGCAATTGATGCATAGTAGTTTTAAAAGTGAATTTGAAAGTGTATATATAATTCAAAGTGTGCACGGATGAGTGAGCATCTCGCTGTCCATATATGTGTGGTTGGTCATGACAACCAATTTCGATGAGTGTTTCAAAATATATTTCGAAAGTGAAAATGTGAAAGCCAAGCAACATTTGACAATCACTCTTGTGTACTTGGATTAATTGACTATTTGTTTTTAATGAGACCTTTGGATATGAAAAACATGCATAGGAAAAAGTACTCTATGTGTTTTGTATAAGTGTAAGTGATATCGGGTTATATGGGGAAAGGTTGGCGCATTGAGCAATGCTCCAAGAAGATCACGAAGTAAGGTGGGTTCGTTGAGTTTACTCCGAAAGTCGTGGGTTTTGGACCTAAGTGAGTCCACAAATAAAAGGAGTTGTATGGAGTCGTTATCCAAAGAGTGAGTTACATTTGAACAAAAGACCATTGATCTTTAATTGATGTGTGCATTGTGTGTGACTTGCAAAGAGGTAATTGTGCATGAGTGTATGTGTTTCTGTTGGATATATGAGAATAAATGGCTTGTGAATATTCTGGATTTTGTATGCATTTAGGGTGTAATATGTGAACATAGAAGCATGGCATAATGATATGAATGTTGAGGTAAAAACAAGTGAGGTGTGATTGCATATAGGGTTTTCCTTTAGCTTTGGAATGTGTATTACTTAGAATGTTAGTTGTTCATTGGGTTATTCAACTCACGCTCGTTGTTTAACTCTTTTCAAAAGATTAGTAGTCAAGTCAGGGACAAGGAGAAAGAATCTAAAGTGGTCAAGCAAGACATATTACATAAAGCGAATGTAGTTTTAATCCATGTGATGGCAATGTGGGAATCATTTTGGGACCTAGACATTTGCCCATATAATAATTTGTAATATGTGGCGTGTTATGTAGACCATTAGTTTTGTGTTAGTGATTATTAATTGGTTTTTTTTGGAAATGTTGAATGCATTTATTGGTTGAATTGGTCATAAGATTAGCCAACTGTTGATTGGTACCTTAAGAAAGTGTTTAGTGTGCTTAGACAAGTGACACGTGTATTAAATATGTTACACTTATAGGATACATGAAATGACCCAAAATACATAATTGGATTAAGTGACTTGTGTTTAAAGTTAATCATTATGCAAACTTTTAATGCTAAACATTTGTATGATGTTGTGACTTGTGTTATGAAGCATGATATAATCGTATTTTGACATGTATAAAGTAAAATGAAAGTGTCCAATCATGTATCTAGTTCATATGATTGATTATGTGGAATTTTGGTAACTCATTTATGCATGTTCTTAAGAATTCTGTACTTTTCTAAAAAATGATTGATCCCTTATCGGTCCCTTAGGGGAAAGGACCGATCCCTATTAAAAAAAAATGATCCCTTGCCTAGAATGATTGATCCCAAACTCACTATTTTACAAATGGTCGATCCCCATGAAATAAAATCGATCCCTTGCCTAGAAGGATTGATCCCAAACTCACTATTTTACAAATGGTCGATCCATGTGAAATAAAATCGATCCCTTCTTTGTGTGTTCGATGAAAAATGAAATTAAATTTAAAGTCCCTAAGTGTCATTAAGTCTTAGTTTGATCTCATGATGTCTATATAAGTTTAAAATGGTCCATAAATTGATTTGCTAATTAACAATAGACCTTAACTCAAAATTGATGAGAATTGAGTTGTCACTCTTTAATATATATAATTACATAATGAAAGTGTCAATTGCAAGATCGCTGATTGTATGTAACTTTTGAATTGTTTACGTTTTAATCCTAGAGATATATGTCAATTAGGTCCATGTTTGATTTCTGACTAATTGAAATTTGCATGTCACTAATTAAGGATTAATAATGAATATTGATAAGCTTAATTGGATAATTTACCTTGTAATTGTTTGGTTATGAGAAATAATGGTTTTACGTTTCGATGTTTGAATAATGTTAGATTATTATTGTTTATTCTCTGTCACGTGTTGCATGATATATGTTTAAAATTTGAATGTTTCTGTATAGTGCCCATATTTTAGGGTTATGTTCTGTCCGACATGATCGAAACCTAATGTACACTCAAGTACTCAGGTATTTCTTCGTGACCGAGTATTGGGTGTTACAATATTAGCCATGATTGGCATCAGAGAGTATCACATCTGAAACATAACTCAGAGATTCATAATCGTAATACATATGTAGCGTAATAGTTAAAGTAAATTGAGCTAAAGTGTCGGCAACAACATTTGCGGATCGACGAATACCGACAACGCAAAAGCCTGGGTGATCACGAAGAACCAGTCAGGTTTGAGCAAGGTGAAACCCCACCGTCGATATGTCCAAATGCGATGACGTTAGCTGGCGGACAACATTGGTTGCATCGCTTTCTATCCATACATGAGCAAATTGTAATTCCACAGCCAATTGAATACCATAAGTAATGGCATTCGCTTCTGCCACAACAATAGCGTAGCCACCATTCAATGGAATAGCATGACACGCTACCATTGCACCATAGTGATCACGTGCGATGATACCGACCGCTGGTCGTTCATCCGAATTGAGCAAGCATCATCCACATTTATTTTAGCACAATAACCGATGGTTTACACCAGATATCAGATGGTAGCCTCCGTGCGATAAAGATAAACTGGATATCCCATTTGTCGCATCGAAAGCAGCCAAGAAAGCTTTGCTGCTCCAAACAACCTGCCACCCCGGAGTCAAGCAATCGTCCAATACATAAGCATTTCGCTTATCTTTAGGGAAAACATTACTGGAATGTAATATTACTATGTAAATATTGTATTACCTTGTTTAGTTTGTTTAGCAAGAATGTAAAATTATAGTGTTTGATTGGAAGAATATAAGATTACTTGAATGTATATTTTACCAAATTATCTTTTTGATATATGTTTTTTTAAGTTAAATTTCAATATCAAATTATAAATATTTGAATAAATTCATACAAATATTTTAATCGTTATACTATCTAACTTTTGAGAGAAAAAAATGCATTTAATATATAATCAATATATTAAACTTATATTTTTAAATACATTTCATAAGCATAATATTTATTTATATAAAACATAATATAATATGAAAAATAATATTATGATCTTGAGTGGACAAATATATTATTTTTAATGT